ATGTAAGTGGGATGGGAGGTTTCTCTAGCTGAGGCCTGCACCTGTGAACAACCATCATGCCATGCCTAAGCCATCTGAAAGAGCAATGCAACATGACTGAGTCCTGTTTGTCAGCTGCTTTCTTGTTGCTACTGTACTTACCCACAGAAGTCACTGTTGTCCCACTAGATGGAGAAATCTGTAGTAATCGGGGGTCTATAAAAGGTGTAAAGGAGGAGGAAGATTTGTGTTTCTGGAGTGTGCTACTAGCGGACTGAGTCTGTAATGTAAATTTCAATTTTATTAATACATATGACATTTTAAACACGAACATTAAAAAAACATTTCAATCCACTTCTATACTGTACTATTTCCCAATACAAAGCCCTCCTGCATCACTTCCCAAAAATGCCCTGCAGGGGGCCTCCATATGGGCTCAGCACTCCCCTGAGAGGTTGCCCCACTTGGAACACTGCAGGAGCCACATCTCCTTCAGAGACGTTGCTCACCTAGGACAGCAATGCTGCGAGCTACCAATAAAATCTACACTTCAAGCTCTTAGCTTTTTTTTTTTTTTTTTAAATGAAATAAATGATCAGAATGAAAATTCCTAAAGGAGGTCTGAAATGTCTTGGTCCCAATTCACCAATTTCTGAATTTGCTCTCCTACCCAAAATAGTACAATTAATCTATGTTGGATAGTGGGAAATCTCAATTTAATTTTACTTATTTTAAAATAAGCCTCTTACCAGAAAGCTACAGAAGCTTTGGCTGTCATTGTTTTAGGTGTATCACCATTAATCCCGTACCACACAGGGGCTCATTAGTGAAAGGTGAAAATGACAAACTAAGGTGTACCCTTTGATCTTTTAGGATCACTAGTGTTTGGTTAATAATGTAACTTAAGACAAAAAAACACAAAGAAAGTGAAACAAATTGTTAAGTGGAAATGTAATGACAATTAAAAACAAAACAAACAGAAAAATAAATAAAATTGCCATTTTAGTGAGTTACGGGTTACAGTAAAATACTGTACATTAGAGCAAAATGGAGCACAGTTTAAGTTATAAATTTAAAGAGGAATGTGAGTGTAGGTGGATATATATATCTCGGAAGAAAAAAAGAACAAGTCCAATCAAGTGCTTTTGTCCTGTACCATTTCACTCCCTCCATAGACACCTGAAAGTCACCATGTTTTAAAGCCCACACCTTCCTCAACTCCCTGCCTGACCCATCTGCCACCTGGCAGGCTCCACTACCTGTCCCATGAGCCAGTAGCCAATCTAGCTGCTGGCAATCTGATGCCAAGCCTACCCATGATGCAGCTGACTTTCCCCTGTTACTCAGGAAAGGACTTTTCTGATTCTTCCTAACAAGAAAACTAAAGTAGGAGTGGGCAGGCAACTAAGTACTTATATTAACACGATTGGCTGAAGCTGCATGTCAACCTCCCTCAACTGTCAAATGCATTTAAACAAAGTTTCTTATGAAATCAAACCCCTGTTTAATTAAGTATGGGTTGCTCATGGTGGGCTCTGTCACCGAACTTGAGCAAACAATCACCCAGCCTGCCCCTGATCGAGCACCACAGACAAGCCTTTGAACAAGCACATAGAATTTCCCACAGGAAATTTTAAATTAAAAGCAGGCTCAGGTCTTTGTCCTTCTTGCTCAACATCCTAATTTTCCAGGTTCCCCCAAAAAGCATTTGGCCTCTCCTTAAACTCTGAGTGATTGCAAACTTCAAGGAAAGAAATTATTTTAACAGGGTTGGTGGAAAAACAAGTAAGAGTAACCAACCAACCAACAACCGCCCCCCAGAAGGGGAAAAAAAAAAAAAACAAAAAAAACAATCCAGCCCTGTTTGAAGGAGATTCCTGTACAGGATAACAAGTTTTCCCAGATAAGGCCAAGTCTGCTTAACTAAACTTTCCTATACTTTATTTATTGGATAAAAAGAATGAAAAAGGCAGATTCCACAAAAGATTTCAAGAATTTCATGGGTCTGAGAACACAGCAATCATTTTATTTAGATTTTTAAAAAATAAACTGAATAAAGAAAGCCATGCAGCTACACTTATCTACAGAAAAGTAAATAGTGAACTGGCAAGTTTGGAGGGAAATTGATCTGGGGTTAGGGGATTTGTATGCAGATCTGAAACATGTTACTTGGGGATTGGGGAGAAGGGGAAGTGACAGAAGACAGCAGGGTGGGTAGGAAAGGGGTGAGGGTGCTGGAAAGGTCTCCTTTGCAAACTAGCTCCTAGGCAGTGCTGGTCTAACCCCAGGAAAGCAGCCAGCTGTGGTGCGAGACATACCTCATTAGCAGTGAGCTTGTCCTGGGGTGTCTGTGGGGACATGGTGGGTGTCGGCTGGCTGGAGGATGGGGAGGAGGAAGTGGAGGAAGTGGAGGAGGAATGGCTTTGCTGTAAGAGATCTGGCAAGAGGTGAATGCGACCGGCAAAGCCATTGCTCTCATGATGGCTGGCACGCTTTTGGTCAACTGTACTCTGCAGAAAAAACAGGCACACTTATCTTGCTCAAGCGCTGCTGAAATTGCCTACGATTCTGCTGATAACTGCTTTTGTTTAAGGCGCTGTGTGACTTTTCAAACTCTGTTAAATTACCAAGGAAAAACCAAGGAAAATAGCCTGAATTGCTCACACTTCCTTGCCAAACATCTAAGATGAGCCAATAGAATTCAAAGTCTGGTAGCAGCATGACTGAAGCACTGAGAGTTTAATCGGTTTATCTATCACACTAACTTCTGTGACCAAAACCACTACTCTTTTTCTTTTCTTTCTGTCTAGAGCTCCGGAAAGTACCTTGTGGCTTCTTTGAATCCCAGTCTTTTCCATGTTCTTACTTTCTATCTGAATGCATTGCCATGGCATGAAATACACTCCGGGCAAAGGCCAAAACACTAGCTGGTGCCCTGTTCTACTGTATCTTTTAATGAAGCCTAAGCTAAGAAATGAACAGACAGTCATAAAACTTAGCAATCCAGACTGAGCACATCTGGGGGGCACACATTTAATTATTCGACAAGTGAGGAAACTAGCATTTTGGAACACAGAAGAGAGACCTGTGCTCTCTGAGTCTGCGGGGCTGTGACGAGGCTCGTCCTGCTGCCCGTCCACTCCTGCTGTAGCACTGCCGATGCTCACAGCTGACCACTCCCAGCAGGGCCACTGTGGCCACTCTGCCACAGCCTCCAGGCCTGCTTCCTCCCTCACATGGCTGTTTAAGGATGCCCTGTGGCTCTTCTACCACTCAGACACAGACCGTGAGACTCAGCGTGGTGCTTGCATGAGGGCTGCCGCGGACATGCAGAGGAGCAGCAATGTGGGGTGGAAGACTTGGCGCTACCTTCTGGGCATGCAGCACACACCTGCCTCCCTGTCCCCGGGCACTCGCCCCTTGGCTCTTGTTAACATGAAAACAGGTGGTGATGTAGACACAGCATGAGTGAGTGAATGAGCAAGTGGGTTAATGACTACAGGAGAAGCTCAGCCTCTGACAACAGAGAGAAGACACGGGTACCTGGCGGACGATCAGAGTGCCCTCCTTGGATGGGGTCATGGCCGGTTCACTCTCTACATCGTCATGGACAATCATGGTTTTCACGGACTCTGTTTCACCATTGCTCAAATTCAGAGATGACCTATGGAGACAAAATCCAGAAGTAAAGGACCCTAATCCATGAGCTGAGAATATCGTTTAGACTTTTCACCTTCTTGAAGTCATGAGATGAGGCTACAGGTAAAAAGGTTCCTCAAGGAAAGCAAGTGCTCAGCTTTTTCCCTTCAACAAATAATTGCCTTCCAGTGCAGTCTGTTTTTGAGCAAAAAGAGTAAATGCTTGTGGTTAATTCAAGTAGTTATACCAAACTGAAATTTCCTTTTTATCATATCCTCAAAGCAAAGGGAAAAAGTAAAGCACATGGTGGGCTGCAGAGGAAGACACTGATATGCACAAACACAAATGAAGAGAAGGGGACAACACAAGGACTGTCTGCTGAATACGTGACAACTAAATCTTAAATGCTTGTGGAGTCACGTGACAGGCTTAGAGAAAACAGTCTGGCTCCCAGTGGAAAGAAGGCTCAGTGGGATGCACCCTCTCTAAGATACACCCAGTACTGACGGTGCTCTGGTGTCCTCTGGTCCAGAGGTGGACTCATCAGCCCCTTCCTGTTCCACGTCTTCGTCCTCCTCATCTGTGGTCCCTGACTCCTCACTGGACGAGGAGTAATCCGTCACTTTGTGAGGTGGCCGCACATCTTCCACTGCTCGAAGCTCTTTGGCCAGTGCAGTCAAATCCTAATGCACGAATAGAGAAAAGAGAGTAAGGCAAAAAAGGAAGATGGGAAGGAAACAGGAAAGAATGACGAGTTCTTTATTTTAACTATCAACGAATAGCCACAATGTCAGTCTTATAAAATGGTTTGGTAGAGTATTTTCAAGTTTCATAGGAAGGTCAGCTTTTGATAGAAAAGACCAAAAAAGTCAAAAATGTTGTATATAGATCAAATCCCATAACAATAAAAAACGTAACAGTCTGCTTATGATGAGCATTTTTTTAAATGTAAGGTAGGGCCGACCCGGTGGAGCACTGCTGCAGTGCGCCGCTTGGGAAGCGCGGCGGCGCTCCCGCCGAGGGGTTGGATCCCACATGCAGACCAGCCGCTCACTGGCTGAGCAAGGAACGGGGGCAACACCGAGGGTTGCGATCCCGTTGCCAGTCATGAAAAAAAGACAAAAAGACAAAAAGACAAAAAATAAATAAATAAATAAATGTAAGGTAACATTCTAGATCAACAATTGTATAGAGACAGATGCTTGGGCTTTGTTGGAAAGACACCTGTCTATATGACAAAGTCTTCTTTTAAGGGAACTATGGAGAAAGCAAGCTTCTAGCTAAATATGCCTAATTTAAAGTATTTATTTTTTCTCAAACTTTCATTAGAAATTTCAAACCTAAAGAATAGAGAAAGAAAGTGCAGCGAGCACCAGGTTACCTCTTACATCTCGCCTCACCAACTGTACACAACCTGCCACATGCAAAAAAAAAGTTCATGACATATAAAGAAAGTGGTGACCCTGTGTACGCTGTGGGCAGAAGGCAAGGTGGGCTTCCCTCCTGCTCCCTTTGAGCCTTATCCACATGTCTCCACACCACTGCCAATGAACGTGAACATCAGACAGAAGAGAATCCACAGCAGAATTTATGTTAAAAGGCTCCATTTCCCTTTACTCTTCGATACTGAGATACTTTAAGACTCAGTCCATTCACTGAACATAATTTTCAAGAGTGACTATTACTTATACTCCACATTTTCATAAAAAGTCCAAATTTAAAAGTAATGACTTTTTTAAAAGCAGGCTATATAGATATTTTTCTCTTTTAATTTTAGAAGTTCCAACTGCTAAAACTTAGTTTTCTTCATTTTCAAAGTTGAGAATATGTTTCTTTTCTTTGAGTTTGAGCCTCTGAAACAGTGACCAAATACTGGGCCCTGAGTCTTGCTAACTATTTCGTGGTCACAGCTATACCTTTTTAGTTACTTGAAAAAGCTATACTTAATACTAATTATAATAATAAATGCAGCATATTTCATGTGTGAAGAAAGCTGAAGTGAAAGTTTAAGATTTTAACTACTGGAAAGAACACAAAAAGAGCTGAAGAAGGAAAAGGAACACAGCTGGAACACAAGCTAGGGTCACGGGCAGCTGGAATGCTGCCATGAGGGGAGCTCTGCAAAGAGGGGCTTACCACTTCACCCTTCAGTACAGTGGCAGTTTCAAGGAGTCCAAGAAGCCATCGTTGACGAAGAATGCACAGGATGAGGAAGCATGGCAGAAAAAAGGGGAGAAGGAAGAAGTATAGAGGTCAGTTCAAGCAGGAAATCAAAACTGCAACAAGCTTAAAATTCCACCAAGTGTACACAGTTGCACGGTCCGTTCATATGACAGGGAATTAAAGGAAAAGTTCACAAAGTAGTCACAACTATCACTGCAGGTACCAAAGGGCAGAATTTAAGAAACAGATGAATTTAAGAAGGTAATTTTTAAAAATGTATTCTAAAAGCCAGTACTATAAATGCCCAGCTCATCAAGAATAAGTAGAATAAGTAAAAGTGAATGCCAAGCAAAGAGATAAGTGTCTTGTTTCCTTAGAAGGAAATTCCCTTCCTTCCCTTCCTTCCCTTCCTTCCCTTCCTTCCCTTCCTTCCCTTCCTTCCCTTCCTTCCCTTCCTTCCCTTCCTTCCCTTCCTTCCCTTCCTTCCCTTCCTTCCCTTCCTTCCCTTCCTTCCCTTCCTTCCCTTCCTTCCCTTCCTTCCCTTCCTTCCCTTCCTTCCCTTCCTTCCCTTCCTTCCCTTCCTTCCCTTCCTTCCCTTCCTTCCCTTCCTTCCCTTCCTTCCCTTCCTTCCCTTCCTTCCCTTCCTTCCCTTCCTTCCCTTCCTTCCCTTCCTTCCCTTCCTTCCCTTCCTTCCCTTCCTTCCCTTCCTTCCCTTCCTTCCCTTCCTTCCCTTCCTTCCCTTCCTTCCCTTCCTTCCCTTCCTTCCCTTCCTTCCCTTCCTTCCCTTCCTTCCCTTCCTTCCCTTCCTTCCCTTCCTTCCCTTCCTTCCCTTCCTTCCCTTCCTTCCCTTCCTTCCCTTCCTTCCCTTCCTTCCCTTCCTTCCCTTCCTTCCCTTCCTTCCCTTCCTTCCCTTCCTTCCCTTCCTTCCCTTCCTTCCCTTCCTTCCCTTCCTTCCCTTCCTTCCCTTCCTTCCCTTCCTTCCCTTCCTTCCCTTCCTTCCCTTCCTTCCCTTCCTTCCCTTCCTTCCCTTCCTTCCCTTCCTTCCCTTCCTTCCCTTCCTTCCCTTCCTTCCCTTCCTTCCCTTCCTTCCCTTCCTTCCCTTCCTTCCCTTCCTTCCCTTCCTTCCCTTCCTTCCCTTCCTTCCCTTCCTTCCCTCCTTCCTTCCTTTCTTTTTTTTTGTGGCTGGCTAATAAGAGAATCTGAACCCTTGACCTTGGTGTTATCAGCACCATGCCTGCACCAACTGAGCTAGTGGCCAGCCCATAAGGAAATTTCATTAAATAAAAACTACACTTTGTTCTGTTTCTTTGTAAGGCTGACTGCACACACATTATGTGGTGGAAATGCCCGAAAAAAGGTACTGAAGATTCTCTGCAGGAAATAAGATGACTGTGGAAGGGACACGAATGTGTCTGGGGATTAGGTCATTTCTTACAAGTCTTCAAATCTGTAAGGGGACTCAACACAAGGGATTGCAGGCCTCTAAACCACATATTTTTTAATAGAAAAGATCTCAAGCCTGAAATAAGTAAAACTGATTTTGTGCAATCCTTACCGCAGGTTTGAGAGGTCTGAAGACTTCTTTTTTATCTTCAGGTTTTTTCACTGCGTTTTCAAGACGCTGAGATGGAGAGCCTTCAGACTTGGACGATGCTATCACATTCAAAAGAGACGAGAAAGGCAGGTACATATAAACATATAGCTGTATGTCACAAAGCTGTCGTGGCTCACCTTGCCTTCTGTTTCTTCCCCTGAGCCACCGCCCATTTCTGCTAGGCCCACCCATGGAGTTTCCGCACACAGGTCTGAACTCCAGAGCAAGGGCAGGGACCCAGGAGAGCTCTGGCAGGCTTTCTGACTCCTTCCTTGGAGTCCTCTATCATCACACTCTACTCAACATGTATTCACAATTAATTCCTTGCTATGTTATATCAGTAATAAACTAGAGGGACTTTTTCACTAATCTTTTATTATGAGGTTAAAATAACCAATTCTGATGAAATCTTATGCTGCCAGGTAATATGAGGATGCCTAGGTAGGTTTGCATTTTGGCAGTGTTCATCTTGAATTTTTCGACCTTCTCTGCCTATACCATCTCTCTGACTTTCACTGTACTCCAGGAGTCCATACTGAAAGAAATGAGTTCAGGTCCCAGCTCATTCAGCTAAGTACCTTGGACAAGTTAGTTAATCGCACTAAACTGTAAAGTATTCACAGTGCTGGGCATGTGTAAAGCTTTCAAACTTAAACTCTTCGTGATTAAAATTATGGTGACTATTATTGTCATAAGCAACCTACACTAAAACACTGTTTTATGCTATGCAGGAATACCCAACCACAGGTCTTTTTTACAGATTAAGAAGGACTTCCAATATACTGATCACAGCCAAGGTTGTTAACAGGGAAAAGGCAAAGGACAGGCAGCCTACATCTCACTCTGAAGCGTTCCCCAGAGCCACTCTGAGACCCAGGGTGGGAGCCGGGCTGAGATCCTGAGTTGCTGGACCCTGAAGAGCTGCCACTGCCAGGCCTGGGCACCAGCTTCTCCACTCTCTCCCATAGGAGCCGGGGCTCAATACTGCTGTTAGAAAAGAAGAAAGAAGAGCTAAAGTTTCATCCAAGATATAGTGCCAAATTGTAAACACATGAATGATGTGTGCATGTGATGTCTTTAAAATGAAAGGATGAGAAAAACAGCATTTAACATTAAGTTCATCAAAAGTTATGAAGACACTATTTGTGAGTTTTAGCTTGGGTATCTTAACAAACTAAAAACACTAAATGATATCTTAATGTTATCAGACCTAAAATCTTCATCAGGTGTAAGATGCAACACTACAGTTTAGGGTAGAAGTACCACTGTTTCTGTGACACCTACAAACTCAGTTCTTAGTATTATGAAAACAATCCATTTCTATAATTACACACAACAGTATATCCTGTTTCTAGGCTGCTGTTCTCACCCAATCCATTGCTACCCTCCAAAACTGACATAAAGGATACACTTTTGTGTGAGCTGTGTTGGAAATGTTACAGAAAGCATAGGCTGGGGGTTGGATTTCCTGCCATGGGCAGACCCACACACAGCACATGTATGCTAGATACTGATGACACAGTCTTAGTCACAGAAGAATGCCATGGTCCACTCTGGTCGTTAGGACTAAAGGGCACTTTGCCACTTCTGGGTTATCCACTGGACCACTTCAAGTTACAAAGGGTTCCATGTGCAGACAGCTAACTTTAGTGGTTTAGTGATGATCAAGTTACAAAACATTCAATATAATGATCTTCTCCTCCTTAGGTCAATGTTGGTCAATGAGACTTTCTGCAATGACAAAAATGTTCTACATCTGAGCTGTATATTATCGTAGCCACTAGCTACATGTGGCTATAGAGCACTTAAGTTGTGACTGGTGCAACTAAGGAAAGGAAGTTTTCATTTTATTTCATTTTAATTAAGTTAGATTCAAATTTAAGGAGCCTCATGTGGTTAATAGCTACTGTATTAACAGAGTAGCTCTAGAACCTAAAAAGAATATAACTTGGTTAATTCACTAGTTTACTGTAGACTGTCAGTCAACCATTTACTTTCTTGAGTGACCTGTTTGTGTTTTCCATACCATTCTAAGGTCTTAGGACTCCCTTTAGATAAAAACTCCCTCGGATTACAATTCTCTTAGAACCGCTCCTTTCCAGTTACTCATAGAAACATGAAGTTTTTGGTCCAAAATTACTACAATACACATCCACGTTCCAATCCTCTTTTTATTACAGATCAGTTGGATGTTATTCATGTTAAAGGGTTTTATGGCATTTTTTTCTTTTATAGCTGATAATCTCTTTGCCCCAAAACTTCTGTGTTTATGAGCATTTTTATGAAAACAGACAACGTAAGACTGCAGGAGCCTGGGCTGTAAACCTGTTGTTGACCTTCACTCTTCCATTACCTGGTGGAATTTCTTTGTCCTGCTTGGCTATTTTG